TAGAATTTAAAATATCTAGCAAAGGAGACACAATGACTGGCTCTATGGTCGAAGACTGGTTGCTTGCTCTATGCAGATAATTAAGCTCCACCTGCCTCCCCCTTCGCTATGATGACGCAATGCCTCACTAGTCTGAGAAGAGCCTAAAGCCTGTAATATAAACACGAACAAAGTCATAAATCTGGCCTGTTACTCGGGTAATAAAGAGTATAAAGAAATAATTTAGGCCTTACCGGAAGAACTTCCCGAAATTAACGACGACCATAGCCACCTGAAGGAAATCGATAAGTGGAGGAAGTTGTCATACCTGCGCCAGCGTAAGGACCACTCCTTTGATAACCCTGGTTGTTTGATCGCATTGGCCCACCAACATAATGTTGTTGACCTCCGTAGCTGCCAAAGCCATCACCCATCCCACCCCAATGGCCCCCGCCCACGCTACCTCCACCACTGCTTATTTGTCCATCCCAAACGCCTCCATTACCTTAAAGAATAAAAATAACTAAAGGTCACCTAGAGGATTGCCACCATTGAGTAAATCATAGCCATTACCCCAATTGTTACCGTAGCCAGTGTACCCACCCCCCATTTGCGGAAGACCAGCCGTGCCATTATAGCCACCATTGTAATCATTATTGTAGCCACCACCATAGCCATCATATCTGGCTTCCTGTTTTCTTCTCATTTGATTCATCTGCTCCTTGCTAAGTGCCTTCTTCACATCGGCCCTGCTAGCGCCTATGAAATGAGGCTTGTATAAAATTGCTTTATCAACCGAGTCATAGTCATCGAAGGTAACAAATCCGAATCCTCGACTTTCACCAGACTCTTTGAACTTTACAACTTCGCACTCTCGGATGTTGCCGTATTTGACGAAACAGTCATTGAGATCCTCATTGGTGACCTCTTTTTTGAGGCCGCCAACAAATAGCTTAGACACGGTCATATGAGCCTCTGGGTTATGTGAGTCCTCACGTGGCATAGCTCGCTTTGATTCGACAGTCTTCCCGTCAATAGAATGAGGCCGCTGTGACTGTGCAGCATCCACCATCTCAGGCTCCTTGTACGTAACAAAGCCGAAGCCCTTAGACCGACTAGATCGTTTATCTTTCATGACGACCGCATCCACAATTTCCCCCCATTGTCCATAGTATTCTCTCAAATTCGATTCGGTAGTTTGAGGATTTAAGCCACCGATAAATAGCTTACGGAACTGCTCAGTGGTCCTATCATTCGGTTCAAGGTTTCTGAACATGTCGGGTAAGAAACGGGAGAAGGCAATAAGCTAACAGTGAGGCAGAATAAACAAAACGGATATGCCTAACATGTATTTTTATAGACAAAAATACCCCAAGCATTTTTGAACTAAAAATTTAGAAGATCAAATTTATTTATATTTTAAGTACTTATGTCCACGTTCGGTAAAAGTAATTCTCGACTAGAGGCTAAAGACATTGCTAAGGTTAACATACGACTTCAATGTCCGGCATCACAGATTGAATTGTAAAATTAGATGGAAGTCTACCTACTAGGAACAGAATGCGTCCACTTGAAAACGACATTTACCCTATTTGTTAACGTCACCGTAGTCAAACTATGAATCTTCGAATCGAATTAGTCAAGCTTAAGACCTTACATTATTCCCCATCCTAGGATAGACCAGACCACAACGCAAAGCATTGTCCGAGGAGGACACTACCCCTATCCTGACCAGTTATCCTTTCTGAATTAAATCGCGTTCATACCCAGCTTAAAAGGCTTGACTTCCATTTGACTATCATCCTTGATAGGAAATAAATGCCATCAGCCAAAAATATTAACGACAAATCCTCAATAACTATATAGCATGGGCTATTCAAATTGTGCCGGAGTCCCATGTACCATCATCTGGCAGGATTTCTGTAATTTCAAATAAGAAAAACGATCAGCTAGCTGTTGTCTCTAAAGGAAGTTCCACAATGGTAGAATTCAAGTAGGAGACCAGTTATCATTGAGTTGGCACAAGCTAGCGTACGCATTTCAAACAAATTAATTGCCGTCCAGTTTGATAGTCGGGTAGGTCTGGACAATAGAACCTTAACCCTGCTGAGTCTGCAAACCACGATGAAGGCCGGCTATGACTTCAGCCCATTAGAAAATGCCGACGGATATCAGCTTTGAATGTTCTTTGACTTCGTCATTCCTAGTGATACTTGTATCCCGTTTGCAGATTGCATGAAGAATCTGACGAGGACGATTTAGACACTGTACGATAATCAAACCTTGATTCATTCTTAGGCTTCTATTTTCCAGTATCGATATCAAACTCCCGACCTCATTATACCAATTATAGTTATTCTACACAATGAGTTGGAGGGAATATCTAGACTAAATGTTGGCTAGCGTATAGACAACATAAGAGCAAGTTTAGGCCAAAATTTCTCTCGATCTAAGATACTGGATATTTTACCGCTAGACGACCCATCCACAAATGACTTCAATAAAACATTTACCAGTAGCCTACCTCAACAAAGTCTATTAGTACTGGAAACGCCAATGTTTCGCATTTAGCCCTACACGGTACCTAACTACGTCAAACGACTAATTTACTATTTGTGAGGATGTCATCATATCCATACATTCGTTGTTATCGATGCCAAAATATCCTATCAATATCTCGCATTTTGATTGTATAAATTCATATTTGAAGCAATGAATTAGATCAGCATAATTAAGCGTTATTTTTCCTTCGATAATCTGCCTGACGATGTAATAACTTCACCAATTACTTAAAGCGGGCCCTCCGAGCACCTGATCGGTATGATTGAGTCAAACCCAAGCATCGACTTTCCAACAACTTTGAGTGTCCCTTTACTCATTGAGTGTATCGAACTGCCCGAAAGCCCCACAGATATGCTCTCTAATCAGAGCTCGCGCGGGAAGTGTCTCAAGCAAAGATATTAACGCTGAAGAATCCGATCTGCGATTACATCTTCCTTGAGACGACTCTCTCTCTCTCTTCATGTTTTATCTGGAAGCCATGAAAGTAGCAGCTATTCACACATACATACCGTCCTTGGCCAATACTAGTGCTTGATTCTTCTCCGAACACTATGACCTGCTTCGCTGAAAAGCATCTCACCACCTCTACTAATACTAAATATGTTAATTGAACACCTTTTATTCCACACTAATTTCCCGCACTTTGACCTTCTTACCTAGCTAGGTCGGGTATTCAAATGAAAGCCGGGAATTTCGCCTGCGTCAGCTTAGGTTATGTATACATTACCATCTACCTGTTTTAAGTACTGGAATTCGTAGTACCTAGGAGAGTTAAGGAATTAGATAACGACAATCCCAAATATGTCGGTGTATACTTTCATTCGAGGCAAAAGGGAATGAAAGACTTGTCGGAATAAGAAGTATTGTCAGATCGTTCTTACTTATCCTTCTATACCAGGTAGAGAAGCTTTCATCCAACCTTAATCGTATCTTATGGCAGATCTGGGTGAGGCCACTTTCGGCCAAAATGCGACTCGATTGAATGCGACTATAAACAGTCGAAACTAAACGGAACTGCCATTCAATTTCAGGCTTCTAATGATGTGAGCACAGAAGATACATTTCCTTCGCAAAAATGGTGATCAAATTTCACATTGTCTTCATAGGTATAGAACTAGTACCATGACAGGTTTGGGTAACAACCCGCTTAATGGCAATCCAGATCACCGACTCCCTTACGTTCATCAACACAGTTTCCGTCCCAAAGTATCTTGTCACTAGTGATACAGAGGTTTACGCTACTTCATCTTTAATTTCCGTAGGGTTACGGATAACAAATATCACGTATATCCGTATCAAATATAACGGCAATTAGGTCATTTGGCTCTAGAAAATGAGTCATTGATTTTGAAGTTAAAATGTTTAATAAGTGTGCTTATTTTGTTGTTGCAAATAGATTAGCCACGCGTTGCCTCTCATTTTCTACTTCGATCATATGGGCTTTAATTATGCTATTACGCGTCACTGTTAATAATTGATTTGCTATTCTCAGCCTTATATTATGATTCACTTGGTCCTAAATAGCATTATGGGTGACACGACATTCGATTCCATATTCATCACGGTGAATCCAAATCCATATCACGTAGCCGAGCACAAGCATTTGTATTATAGAGACAGCCTATATCAGAACAAGTCATTATATAAAATCCACTAGCCAGCAACTACATATATGAATTGTCATATAGTTTAAGAAAAAACGTTTAGTTACAAAAATATTAATTATACAGATAGATGACCTGCGCACTTGTGGAAAAAAGCAGACAGCATTGACATGAGGTGTACTAATTCCACTTCGTTTAAGTTTATAAAGGGATTGGTGGTCGATTTTTTCCCACAATGATATGAATATACCTTGCATTCCCGTTGCATTTCACATAGCCTTACCACCCCAAAAGGTACGCTCATTCAGAGTCGACCTCGCCAAGGCCTTATCAACACTCCAAACCACAATCAATCCATGGTAGTGCAGGGTATAATCTCGATATTGCCACAACTGCCCTTGTGTCAAAGGGCAGATGAGACTATCAAAAAGATTAGACACCACCCACATCAGATTCCGTGCCTCGATGTTGAAAAAAAGGTCAAATATAATAGTGATGCATTACAAGAGATAACGAATTCGGGTAGATTTGCGCGATATGCTTCTGGCCAATACAAAAGGTATTCATTAGCCTCAAATTTGACAATGATAAGACACTGCAAAACTTA